ACTGGACTAGATGACCCTTGTGGTCCCTTTCGACTCCATGTTTCTATGATTCTGGTGAGATCATTTTGAATTGTGATTTTTGTCCTCCATGAAATTAGCCAACCCCCTTAGATTTGGGTTATCTGGCATCTGATAAGCACCCCTTCTGTTCCATCCTGTAGCTTATTTATGAAGATGTTGAACCCCACTGAGCTAAGGAGAGAATCCTGGGGATCCCTGCGTATTTTCATAGACGTTGGTGCAGAACCACTTTGGAAACAATTTCAGCCACTTGCAAACTCACCATTAGCATTTGTATAATTCAGTCATTTAAATTAAATTAGCATTTAGACACCTTATCAACTAGGCTGTCAGGAGAGACCCATCAAGCCCTTCATTGAGAACAAGGTATACTACATCTACCGCATTCCCTTTATCTACCAAATTGGAAGCTGAGACTTGTGACTTGTCCAGTTTCCATGGGCCAGTTCTGGATTTTTCTTTCTTTTTAAACCATACTGAGCTATTCTAGGGTTTAGATATTTTCAAGGGCATTTGGCCTCAGCAAGAAGGAGAACTGCGCCACAGATTTTTGCATTTATGGTCAGAGAGATCTCTGGAGGCTGAGTCTGGTTTTATAAAGAAAGAAGACACTGGCTGATAAGATATTTTTTTATACCCTCCAGCAAAATGGTCTGTAATCAGCTCTTCTGTACCTCGGCTCAGATCCAGCAGGCTGGAGCGGGCCATTTTTATGGGTGAAATTTAAGAACGACATTATTTCTCAGGCTTTCATCGCAGAAATGTACTTTCACCAATGTCCCTCTTTGATAATTTAATAGTTGGTTCCGTTTAAATGGGCTTGAAGAAAGGATCTTGGCTCTCTTCAGTAGGAAAAATCTGGCCTTAAACAGCCTGAAGTTTGGAAAGAGTTGGAGCCTGGGAACGGCCCCAGTTTGTTCCTAAAAATGGGGCAAGTGATCCGCGGTGGCATCAGCCACGGGCCAAATAATATAGCCCTTACAGCAGTGTTGTCCAAACTTGGCCACTTTAAGATGAGTGGACTTCAACTCTCAGAATTCCCCAGCCAGCCACGAATATATTGATGTCGCACCTCCCAAATATAGAGGAAGAACTGTCGTGGGTCACTTGGCCCCACTTTGCTTCAACGCTGTCACTTTGCTCACAATTTCGAATAGAGAAGGCAAAGGCCGTAAGGAAGCATAGGCAGAAAGGCCCCCATCCGTGCCCCCAAGGGGGCACAGCGGTTCACGGCTGAGCTTTCTCCCTGGGCTCGAATGGGGCGGCTCTCCGTGCCCGCAAAGGTGCCGCAGAGCCCCCTGGCCTTCCCGGGTGGGCTTTGAAGGGCTGCGCGGCTCTGAGCTGCCTTGAAGAAGGTGGTTCTGCACCGTTCGGCACTTACGATGGGAGGGTTGCTTGTCCAGAGCACCCCTGAAGAAAAGGGGAGGCAAAGGTGGAGGAAGAGGACTTGGAAAAGCAGAAGAATATTTGGGGAGGCCTTTCTTTCCCCGTTAATTAGAAAAAATGATGTGTAACAGGCAGAGTAGGGGTGGCAAGTTCTGCTGGGTGATGGGTACCTCTCTCCCTCCCTCCCTCCTTCCTTCCTTCCTTCCTTCCTTCCTTCCTTCCTTCCTTCC